GAGCCGATCTGGTTGACCTTCAGCAGCAGGCAGTTGAAGGCCTTCTTCTCCACGGCCTGGGCAATCCTCTTGGGGTTGGTGACTATGAGGTCGTCCCCCACAATCTGGATGTTAACCCCCGAGAGGAATGAGGTCCAGGTGGCCCAGTCGTCCTGGTCAAACGGGTCCTCGATGGAGACCACAGGGTAGTTCTTGATGAAGCTCTTATACAGCTCGCCCAGCTTCTCCCCACTGATGTGCCGAGCAGGGTCATCAGGTGACTTGAAGTCCAGGTCGTACTTCCCGTTGCGATAGAACTCAGATGCTGCCACGTCCATGCCAATCACCACCTTGTCTGGGTAGCCAGCGGCCTGGATGGCCGTCTTCAGCAGCTCCAGGGCCTCATTGTTCTCCAGGATGTTGGGTGCGAAGCCGCCCTCGTCCCCCACGTTGGTGGCATCCTTCCCATACTTGGCCTTGATGACACCCTTGAGGTGGTGGTAGACCTCGGCGCCGATACGCATGGCTTCCCTGAAGGAGCTGGCTCCCACGGGCAAAATCATGAACTCCTGCATGGCCAGCTTGTTCCCGGCGTGGGAGCCCCCATTGATGACATTGAAGGCAGGGACGGGCAGGACTAAGTCAGGGTTCCCGGCGAGGTCCGCCATGTGCCGGTAGAGTGGGACCCCTTTCTCCGCTGCTCCAGCCTTGCACACAGCCAGGGGCATACCCAAGATGGCATTTGCCCCGAACTTGGACTTATTCTCTGTCCCATGCAGCTCAATCATGAATTTGTCAACTTTCTCTTGATCCACCACGCTGAGTTTGTTTTCCAGCAGAGCAGGGCCTAGGGTCTTGTTGATGTGTTCCACAGCCTTGAGGACACCTTTCCCTAGGTAGCGGGACTTGTCTCCATCTCTCAGTTCCAGGGCTTCGTAGATACCAGTGGAGGCTCCGCTGGGCACAGCTGCTCGAAATCGGCCCTTGGCCGTGTGCAGGTCCACCTCTACCGTGGGTTTGCCCCTGGAGTCCAGGATCTCCCGGGCGAAGATTTTCTGCATGGCCATGGCTGGGATGTCTCCGCTGGGGGGGGTCGAGGTGAGCTCTGAGCCTAGGTGGCAGCTGGGACAGTGTCAGCTCACCCCCTCAGGCCGGGCATTTCCTTGGCCCCTTTAGTGAGGTGTCCTTATCCAGTGAACAACTTGCCCAACCATATCAACAGATCTGCAGGGATCCTTTATACCAATGGTTCACAATTCTGACCACATATTGGAAAAAGGGGGAGCTTTTTGAAAATACTCAAGCTCACACCCTAATCTCAGAGATTTGGATTTATTGGTCCTGAGGATTTGGCTTACTTTTAAAGCTCTCAGGTATTTTGAGGTGCTGCCTGGGTTGGGAATTACAACTTTGGACTCACTGATGTGAAAATCTCAAACTAGACTCTACTGCAAATGTGTGTTTGCAACATACAGGCATGCACTGACATACTGATAGGGTTCATGATGCAGCCAAAATGCTAATGCCAATGCCAACACCAACCTCTGGCACTTCTATATTTACACTCAGGAGTCTTCACCTTTACCGCTCATTCCCAGATGTCCAGGCATGCCCCCAACTTGTTCAACATTTTGAGTTGAGAACTAATAATGGGCAGCTGAACCACTACACTGAGACTGCAACTTAAGTTTGTGGGAACAGAGCTTTTTTTTTTTTTTTAAGATTTTAAAATTTGAGAGAGCAAACAAGCTGGGGGGAGGGACAGAGAAAGAAGTAGACTCCTCACTAAGCAAGGACCCTAATGTGGGGCTCAATCCCAGGACCCTGAGATCATGACCTGAGCCAAAGGCAGATGCTTAACTGACTGAGCCACCCAGGTGCCTCTGTGGGAGCAGCAGCTTTGAAGAAGAGTTCTTGCTCTGGAGAAGCCTGGTTGTGTGACCTTGAGAAACTTCACAATCCCGTTTCAGTTACTTTGCTTATAAAATTAAATTAATGGTATGGATCTATTTGCCAGAAATCACACAAGATTTAATGAGCAAGTAATTGCCACATGATTATAAATTGTGCAATTGTTAAATAACTTCATTGTATAAAATTCTACAGAATTCTTTTTAAAAAAAGCACTCCAACGATTCTGACACAGATGGTTAGGACACTGCTTCAACAGATCTGCTCTTGCAGTTCTCAGGCTTCTCTGGTCCCTGCCTATCCTGAGTTTTATTTGTTCATGTTTTCTTGAGATTCTGAGACAATAGCCTCTGTTCTTTCAAAAATGGTCTTTTTCTCCTCCTTTAAGCCAGACTGTGTTGGTTGTCTGTTATCTGTAAACAAAAAGGATTATATTCCAGGGAATGCTATGCTCTAAAATGTTAATATGTTTTGTACAAGAATAACCTCAACATATCTTTATTTTTATCCTGAAATGGCATTCATATGAAGAACTGTTAGAGACATGTATTCTTATTATATTTAAAATTTTGCCTTTGTTCTATGCCCAAGAATGCCAGCAAATGTCATGAGAAACTGCTTGTACAGAAGTCCTCAAACGTCAGAGGACATTAGAATCACTTGGGGAAGCTTGTTAAACAGGTTTCTGGGTCCAACCCTCAGTTTTAGCAGTTCTGTGATGGGACTTGAGAACTTGCATTTTTTTTTAAGATTTTATTTATTTATTCACGAGAGACACAGAATGAGACAGAGAGAGGCAGAGACACAGGCAGAGGGAGAAGCAGGCTCCCCACAAAGAGCCTGGGATCATGCCCTGAGCCAAAGGCAGATGCTCATCCACTGAGCCACTCAGGAATCCTGAGAACTTGCGTTTCTAACAAGTTCCCAGGTGATGCTGATGCTGCTGGCTTGTGGGCACTTTAAGAACCCCTGCTGTAGTATTTTCCAAATTCTAAGAAACATCTGGGGTGCTTTTGCAGAATCTTATGACCTGTGCTATGTGTCTGTGGTTACTGATTCATACCACATTAATTATCTTATGATTTTAACAAAGATATATTTAAACAAATATACTTAAAAGGTATTTTAAAATGTATTTTTTTAAGATTTTAATTATTTTTTCATGAGAGACACACACAGAGAGAGGCAGAGACCCAGGCAGAGGGAGAAGCAGGCTCCATGCAGGGAGCCCCACGTGGGACTAGATCCTGGGTCTCCAGGATCACGCCCTGGGCTGCAGGCGGCGCTAAACCGCTGCGCCACTGGGGCTGCCCTTAAAATGTATTTTTAAACAGTATTTATATCTTGCTTTTATTATAGCATGATAGAAAAATTAACCATGGGTACATCACAACAAAAATACCACAACAAAGATATATTTAAACAAATATACTTAAAAGGTATTTTAAAATGTATTTTCAAACAGTATTTATATCTCGTTTTTATTATAGCATGATAGAAAAATTAACCATGGGTACGTCACAACAAAAAGACCACGAGTTACCACTTTCATAAAGTTCAGGTAGTCTTAAATTAAGCTGCTCCAAAAATTATTCATTTTGTCTAAGAATTCAAGCTTACTCTTCATCTTCAAAGTTTCAACTTTTTGCTTACTTTATTTGATCATCATTAGACTGATTTAGATCTCAAGGGCAGATGGTATACTCAGGAACATAACTCCTAACAAGGTAATTACTGATTAGAAGTCATGAAAACACTATCTACAAACTTAAGGGATTTTGTAAGCCTTTTAGTAGGCTCTGGGGGAGAGGCTCACAAAAACGTAAAATGGAAGATGTTACTTGTCCAACTAATTTTTAGCTTTTCAAACTTTGTACTGTTGTAAGTTTAAAAAAAAAGGTATGTGACTTATGATCATTTTTTTGCACTACATCTTGAGGTAACTTTATTTCTGGCCACTTGAATCTCAGCATTCATATCTCAGGAGTGTCTATAAACTTTCCACTAGGAGCATCATGGGCATGTGTTTTGGAAACAGACATCTAGTGTCTTGTCTGCTGGAGCAAGGTCAGTGACTTGTCCGAACTTTTATCATTCAACAGCCCAAAAGACCTTTTTGTAATAGTTTCTCGCAACAAAGGACTCATCACAATTCTAGGGCAAATGATCTATTTAACTGGTAAATTGAAACTGTCTTGCTTTTGGCCCAAAATGTCACTTTTTTTTTTCATCTGGAGTAATTACACTACTAGTTTGTATAAATTTAAACGAGCCTTACAGTCAAATTTGAATCAAGAGCACACTCAGCAAAATATAATCTAAGAAATAATTTTTTTAAGAAATAATTCTGATTGTTATTAATAAACTTGGAAATCTCAACTCCTCAATACTGGGTGACTGACTGTAGGCAAAACCTAAGTTTCTAATTCTAGTTCTTTCAATTTGCACAAGGCTAATTAGAACAAAGATAACTAGCTCATATGAAGAGTTCTCTTTTTTTCAATAAGCTCTATACCCAACCCTGGGATGAAGAGTAACTTGGTCTACTGAGTCAGCCAGGTACCCCTTTCTAATCACTTTATAAATGCAAAATGGACTGATGGTGCCTTGAATTGTATCCTTTAAGCAATCATCATTCTTGTTTTCCAGGCTGCTCTTGACCTTTTGTCTTGGATTAGGGCTTATTTTTCAAGCTTTCTCTGAACACCTCTTAGTATCACACAGAGAAAGGGGCCTTTCCTTGTGTCATAGCCCCCTTCCCCTGTAAATTGCATAGCATTCATCACACTGTGCTCTTTGAGCTCCCTATTGCATGCACCCTGATTTATTTTTTTGTAAACATTTATTTGAGAGAAAGAGAGTGAGTGCAAGCCAGTGCAAGAGCAGGAGAGCAGAGGGAGAGGGAGAATCTCAAGCAGACTTGGCCCTGAGCTTGGAGCTTGGAGTAGGGCTTGATCCCATGACCCTGAGGATCATGACCTGAGCCCAAATCAAGTGCTAGAAGCTTAACCAAGTAACCCACCCAGGTGACCCTATCTGACTCATTTTAGAAGTCCAGTAGTATGTCCCCCTACCCATCTCCAGATAGTGGAAGAAGACATTAGACACAATTCACTGACGACGATTTATTATAATCTGTTGGCAGCACACAGACAGATAATAAAACCAGAACTATGTTTCCACAGAAGTGGGTGATGATATGTAGCCATTCTATGGGAACTGTGTGCATTTAATCATCATCAGATTTTAGATTTTTGATTTTCTTCTTGTGCCGCTCAATTTCTTTCTGCAGACGCTCAATCTCCTTTATATGATGACCGATCTCATCTTCATGGTGTTTCTTCAAGGCTGCCAGTTGTTCTCTAGTGCGTGCTCTACAAGGATACAGTGGTTCTGCATTTAATCCCGATGCCTCACCCCACAGAGATCTCTAAGCATAACCGGTAATACCTAAGGCAAAGAACAGGAGTCCCAGTCCCATTGGAGTTTGGCTGGCCACATCCTCTTCTACCCCCTCGAGCCCCACCAGTGAAAGAATACTCCATCTTGAGATATATCCATCTTAAGGAAATAACCAAATGATTCCATTTTCCTGGTGCTAGTGCCTGAAATTCCATTATTTTTTAAAATGATTTTATTTATTTATTCATGAGAGACACACAGAGAGAGAGAGAGAGAGAGAGAGAGAGGCAGACACAGACAGAGGGAGAAGCAGGCCCCCCACAAAGAGCCCAGCATGGGACTCCATTCCGGATCCTGGGATCACGCCCTGAGCTGAAGGTAGGTGCTCAACCGCTGAGCCACCCCGGCGTCCCTGAAATTCCATTATTTAGGAGTTATTCCTTTCAGGTTTCTCTTTAGAAAACTCCAGAGAGGTGTGACATTAATTCTGCAATACTTTAGGATAGGAACCCCCCAGGGATCAGAATCCCTTTTTTGGGGGGAAAAAAGAAAAAACAGCAAAAGGAGGGAAGGATGGACAAATGGGTATAAAGGACAAATACCGATATCCTATCTCAATTTATCTAGGGCCTTCTCTGCCTGGGGAAATGCATGGCTCACTGTAAAGGCCAAAATGAATAGGAAGAAAAGTACCCGGCAGTCTGATTTAGGTCTCAAGAAGGGACATTCAAATGGTGGTTTGGGCACATTTGGGCCTCGGTTTTCCTTATCTGTAAAATGTTGATGCCCAATTAGATGGTCTCTTAGAGTTGTGCCTTGGCTCTCTGGTATGGCAGGTGCCATAGTGATAAAATTCTTAAGAGTAAGCAATAAAGGGCAGAAGTTAAAAGCTAGACCAAAGGAGAAGCAGAAGCGAGATTAGTTCCATGCTGCTCCCCACTGTGGACAGAAGTCAGTAAATGATAACTTAGGGCTAGAAAGAGTCCCTAGCCCCAGCCTGCTCTGTACTCTTATGCAGGAGAGAAATCTATCCAGCCCAGGAGCTGGGTTGGGCTGCACTGTGCAGGGCAGGGCAGAGCAAAAGTCTCCAAGAAGTGGGAGAGGAGGGTTCCAACCAGGAGCTGCTGCTATCAGCTCTTATGACCCACTCACTCCGGCAGAATTGAAGACAGGTGGGCTCTAGAAATGGCTGACAGTCTGTAAAACCAGGGAATCCATTCACGTGGAGGAGAAAACAAAGTGTACAGGGATTATGGCGGGTGAGGGCCGAGGTAATCAGGCTCAGGAGTCCTGCCAATAGTGGGCAGTGGGATCTAGACACTCTCAGAAGAACCTGGAAGCATTTGGAAGCCATTTTGCAACACGGGGGAGAACTCCATGGGTGGGCATGGTAAATGATTCAGGAAAAGTCGAGCATGGTTTGAGAGTTCTGGAAACCCGGGGGTGGAAATGGCTTCGGTTTGGGGACCCTGCACTGTTGTGCAGGGTACTGGGAGCGCCCTATAGGTGGCAACAGGACCTCAAGCGTTGAGTGTAATGGGTTCGGCTTGCTAGTTCTATTGGGGGATGGGTGCCCCAAGGCCCAGGGAAGTAAGGGTAGGGCTATTGGAAGTTTGTTTGCTCTTTCTTTTCTTTTCTTTTCTTTTCTTTTTTTTTAGATTTATTTATCTATATATGAGGGGCGCCTGGGTGGCTCAGTGAGTTAAGTGCGTATCCCTTCGGCTCAGGTCATGATCCCAAGGTCCTGGGATCGAGCCTCACATCTGGGCTCTCTGCTCACTGGGGAGTCTGCTTCCTCCCTCTCCTTCTGCAGCCACCCCTGCTTGTGCTCTCCCTGTCTCTCTCTCTTTGTGGAATAAGTCAATTTAGGAGAATCTTAAAAAAAAAAAAAAGATTTATCTATTCGAGAGAGAAAAAGTGGAGCGGCAGTGGGGAGGCGCTGAGGGAGGGGGAGAGAGGAAATCCCAAGCAAACTCCCCTCCCAGCTCGGTCCCACCGCCCGCGATCACCACCACCACAGCGGAAGCCGAGAGTCAGCTGCTCAGCCCACTGAGCCGCCCAGGTGCCCGCGAGGGCTGTAAGTTAGAGAAGGATAGGAGGGCCCTGAGGGCCTGAGAGCCTCGGACTGGACGCGGGGCTCCGTGGACCTCACCGGAAGTATCGTTCCTCTTCAGCTTGCTCTTTCTTTCCGAAGGCCCCACCTGCCTCCCGGATCGAGCCCGCGGAGCCCGGGTCCTCTGACTGCGGAGAGAGATGGGAACATCCGTCAAGGTGCGAAAGGGCGAAGGGGGATACGCGCTCAGGGCTGGGGCAGCGGACGCTACAGCCGGCGTACCCGTTCGGAGCCGAAGCCTCGGGTTTGCAGGGCCCTAACACCCCACATGCCCAGCCACACCCGCGAGGACACCGCCGTGACAGCCATAGTCGGAGCAGCCCTTCGCAGTCACCCGGGCGTGCAGCCTCTCCGCAGGCGCTAACGACGCTGGGAAGCCCCGGCAGCCAATCGTTTCAGTGGAGAGGCGGGATGAGCCCAAGAGTAGCGAATTATGAGGCGGAGGAGGCGGGGCTCCTGCAGCTCGCAGCGAATCCTGAGCGAGAGGCGGGCATACTCTTAGCCAATCCCTAGCAAGGGCTTTGGGGCGAAAGGCCTGGAGAATAATAATGGAGGATGGACACTGTCAGAAGTCCAAGTCTGGACTCTTGAACTCAACAGATTCCACTCCATACCACAATTCCAGTCCTGAAGTTCTTATTAAACACCCGAAGGAAGCCTTCCCTTTCCTGGACTGCTAGCATCAATAAGATGGCCAATGTAGGGGTGGCGGGGGCCTATGTCCAGGATAATCCCACTTAGAGTTCTGGGGAAAAATTTTTTTTTATATGGGTATGTGTATGTAGTCTCTTAAGAGGTGCCAGTGTTCTTTTGTTGCATTGACATGTCACTCAAGTCAAAGCTTAAAAGTCACCTTCTCAGAAGTCTTCCCAGACCTCCTTAGTCATGCTCTTATAGCTACGTTTTGTTCTTTTTCTCTCTTTGTACTTTTCACCATTTGAAGTTATCAGAGTCTTGGTCAAACAGGCACTGAATTAATATTTGTAAAATGCATTAACATGTAATCGAACGGGCTTGATAACTGGACTTTTGGCAATGTGATGTATTGAAGTAGAAAAGGCCATAAGTAGGATTCTGGGGCAGGCTTTGTTGTGACCTTCCTTCTGCTATCTAACAGGTGTGAACAGGACCATAGTTGTTTATAGCCTTTTCCTAAGTCATTTTCTCTCTTGGCCCAGTTTTTCCTCCTTTAGATGAGAGAGTTGCGCCAGATTATCTTATATCTTATGATTATAAAAATATCTGCTTTCTATGAAATTGTAGAACTGTTTTTATTGATATTTTTTGGTTGGAAAAATACCAGCCTTAGTTTGTATGACTTAAATGAGAGGAAATGCATGCAGGGCACATTTTCAAAAGTTCATGGCAGAAAACTTGGAAAAATACAAAAGCAGAAGGATAGAAATAATAATCACTTAGAAGCCCACTACTAGGGATCCCTGGGTGGCGCAGCGGTTTAAACGGCGCCTGCCTTTGGCCCAGGGCGCGATCCGGGAGACCCTGGATCGAATCCCACGTCGGGCTCCCGGTGCATGGAGCCTGCTTCTCCCTCTGCCTGTGTCTCTGCCTCTCTCTCTGTGTGTGTGTGACTATCATAAATAAATGTAAATAAAAAAAAAAGAAGCCCACTACTAGTGGTAACAATTTCCTGTGTTTCTAGACAGTATATAAGTGCCATTCTAGTTTCAGAAACTCTGTTTTTAGTTTTCAGGTATTGCTGTTTCTTGATTATCTCCTAGGCTGGGCATTCAATGGAGGGTCTTGCTGAGTTTGTGCAAAGGATTGTATAGGCACTAGGATGGCTGTAATTTTAAAAAATGGAAAATAACAAGTGTTGGTGAGGATGTGGAGAAACCGTAACCCCTGTACATGGCTGGTGGTAATGTAAAATGGTTCAGCTACTGTGGAAAATAGTTTGGCAGGTGCTTAAAAAGTTAAATACAGAATTATCATAAGAGTCAGCACTTTCTTTTTTTTAAATTTTTTTTTATTTATTTATGATAGTCACAGAGAGAGAGAGAGAGAGAGAGGCAGAGACACAGGCAGAGAGAGAAGCAGGCTCCATGCACCGGGAGCCCGACGTGGGATTCGATCCCGGGTCTCCAGGATCGCGCCCCGGGCCAAAGGCAGGCGCCAAACCGCTGCGCCACCCAGGGATCCCTTTTTTTTTTTTTTAAATTTTTTTTTTTTATTTATTTATGATAGGAGTCAGCACTTTCATTTGTAGATATGTACCCCCCCAAACTGAAAATTGGTACTCAAATACATGTACAGACATTTTCATAGCAGCATCATTTCACAATAGCTAGAAGATGGAAACAATCTAAATGTTTATCAATTAAAATTTTTTTTTAAATATTTTATTTATTTATCCACAAGAGAGACACAGAGAGAGGCAGAGACATAGGCAGAGGGAGGAGAAGCAGGCTCCGTGCAGGGAGTGGGATGTGGGACTCGATCTGGTGACTCCAGGATCACACCCTGAGCTTGAAGGCAGATGCTTAACCGCTGAGCCAGCCAGGCGTCCCTCAGTTTTTAAAATTTAATTTTATTTATTTATTCATGAGAGACATAGATTGAAAGGCAGAGACATAGGCAGAAGGAGAAGCAGGCTTCCCTGGTGAGCCTCATATGGGACTTGATCCCAGGATCCCAGGATCCCAGGATTGTGACCTGAGCCAAAGGCAGATGCTCAACCACCAAGCCACCCAGGCGTCCCCGAATGTTTATCAATTGATGAATGAAAACAAAGTGTGGTATATTTATACAGCAGAATAACATCCAGCCATAAAAAGTAATGAAATGACGACACACGCTACACCTTGGATGAAACTTGAAAACATTGTGCACAGTGAAAGAAGGCAGACACAAAAGGTCACATACTGTGATTGCAATTATTTGAGATGTTCAGAATAGGTAAGTCCATAGAGGCAGAACACTGATTGGTTGTTGTCAGAGGTTGAGTAGAAGGGGGAATGGGAGGAAATGCTCAATAGGTGCCAGGTATCCTTTTGGGGCCATGAAACTGTTTTGGAACTAGTTAGTGACGTGCTCCTTAGGCAACACATATACTAAATCGGAACTAGATAGAGGTTGGTAGTTGCCCAACACTGTAAGTGTACTCAGAAACACCGAATTATTAATTTCAATGATATATTTTGTGGATCCCACCTCAATTTAGAAATGAGTGTTTGTTGAGGTGAGATGTCTCTGGCTGGGCTGCGAACCCTTTAAGAGTCACAAGGAAAGGGGCGGGGCTAGAGAGGCGGGCCTGTAAGAATCACAGGAGGCTGCGCCTGCGCAGGAGAGTCACGTGGTTGCTGGGCCGGGGAAATGGCGGCTCCAGGAGAGAGCGGGGCTTCGGCTGGCGGAGGGAGCACCGAGGAAGCATTTATGACCTTTTACAGTGAGGTGAACACCGAGCGGGGTGTAATGGCACCGGGGCAACCCCGCCCGGTCCTACTTTCCCAGCGGGCAAAGGCAGTGGTCTTCCTGGCCTGGACCGTTGGGCGGCTCCTCCTGTCCGGCCTTCGGGATGGCGGGGGATGGGGGGGGGCGAGCTGGGGGTGTGTTTGCGTCTCTGCCTGATAGCTGCTAGGGGATCCCTTGGGCTTGGAAAAAGGGGCCAGGGTCCCACGTCTGCGGGTAGACGACGAGTGTGGCCAACGAAGTGCCTGGGCGCGTGCAGAGGTCTCCGAAGTCCGCGGAGTCGGAGGCTGGCAGGGGCCGCAGAGGCTGACCTTCTTGGGGGCGACTTAACTAACCTTGGACCTCATTTTTATTCTAAACAGAAGCACTGTCCACTTTTAGTTCTCTGTCATGAGTTGTATTAGTGGTTGTTTCTGACATTTGTGGACGCCAGGCACTATGCATCATGCCAGGTAGCATTATCTGTTTTACAGATGACAAGCCTGAGGTTTAGGGAGGTGAAATAATTTGTTCTGGATCCTAAAGCAGATCACAGCTTGGTATCATGTTAGGACTGGAGTCACTTGGGTCTGAGCCTCGCTTACTGTCGTGTTTCCAGCGCCTAGAACATAGTGATTCCTTGGTAAATATTTGTTGAATAAGTGAATGAATAAATGAAAGAAAAGCATGCCATTTGGAATCAGAGGACCTTAGATTGGATTTTTGCAACGCAGTTTATTGGACCGTGATTGAATTTTTTCAAGGCATTGATTTTACAGATCTTCGGTGTCCACTTCTGTAAAGCGAGAGTTAATATTAAAATGAGTTTTATGAGCTTTAAAGGAATTAATGTATAAGAAAGGGTCTTTCAAAGAGTTAAAGCTGAAGATGGACTTCTGTTGCAATTATACTGAAAATTGTTTCGCTTACTATCCCTTAGTTAAAAGAAAAAAGAAAACAAAAAAAGAAAAGCAATCTTGGTTTGTTTGAATCTAATGAGAGAAAGTACCTAAAGGAGCACCCTTCATTTACCATTCAACCAATGTTTTTTGAGTACCTGACATGTACTAATGTACTGTTTAGGTGCTAGAGGTATGGTAGTGAACAACAGAGACAAATCCTGTCTTCATAGAGCTTGCATTCTATAGAGAAGGATAAGCAATAAACAAACATATACAATATTGTATCAGGTAGTGATAGGTGCCATGAGGAAAATAAATCCAGGAAAGAAGGTAGAGTAGAGGGGGTGGGGAGCGGCATGTTGTTTTAAAGAAAGCGAAAAGGAAAGATACTGAGAAGGAAGGGCCTTTTATATTACTGAAATTATTCCTAAACTCTTTTTGTTCATAGGAATAAAGATGGTATATAACATACCAGTGATTCATTTCAACTAGTATTATATCTGACAGTGGCACCAAGAATGTTTTCCTGGCACTACTTGATGTCTGTAGCATTATCTTTGGGTCAGGGGTTTTTCTTTCTTTTCCTTTTTTTTTTTTTTTTTTTAAGATTTTTATGTATGTATATGGGGGGAAGGGCAGAGAGAAAAAGAATTCCAAGCTGACTCTGCACAGAGTACAGAGCCAGACACAGGGCTTTTCCCCACGACCCCTAGATCACTACCTGAGTGGAAATGAGCTCGGCATCCAACCAACTGAGCCCTGGGCCAGGGATTTTTCTCTTATTCAGGTTAGGTAGGCAGAGTTACTTGCCCTTCCCATATAAAGGGGAAAAAGTTTATATAAAATAAAAGTTTATATAAAAAAGTTTATACTTTTTAAAATGCTATTTTTTAAATGCTGTTTTAATATATATTTCAGTGTAATTGTATTTTTCTTAAAAAGCTGTAAATTAAGTATGAACAGCACAAGTACATCTTGCATCATTATAGTGGAAGCTCTTTGAAGGTGGTGGCTGTGACATATTTATGTTTGAATGTTCTTGATTCTTCAGACTGTTGGAATTAAAATTCTAGTTACAAGTTGGATAGTTGAGAACAAGACAGTTAACCTCTCTAAATCTCAGTTTTCTTAACTGCAAAATGGGGTAATAGTAAAAACTACTGTATAGGATGGTTGAGAGGGATAAATATGTGTCAAGTTTTTATATTATTAGAACTCAGTGAATGATAGCTGTTGGAATTATTCCTCAAAACATTTAAAAAATTGTCTTCCACATGTAGACAAATGTTTGCTGAACATGTCAGTAGATTAATATTCAGAGTTTATTATTGAACTTTACTAATGAAGTTTTTATCTCCTTTCATTTTAGGTGAAACAGATAGAGAAGAGAGATTCCGTTCTAACATCCAAAAATCAGATTGAAAGATTGACCCGTCCTGGTTCTTCCTACTTCAATCTGAACCCATTTGAGGTGAGCTGTCTGGTGTTGCTGTGGCCTTGTGATGGGGAGCTTTGCATAGCTGGAGGCAGGCTTACCATCAGAACACACACCTAATTTGTCTGATAGTTGGAACTGAGATTTGGTGATTGATTGATTGATTTTTAAGATTCTATTTATTCATGAGAGACACAGAGAGAGGCAGAGACACAGGCAGAGGGACAAGTAGGCTCCCTGTGGGGAACCCAATACAAGACTCCATTCCAGGACCCCTGGACCATGACCTGAGCCGAAGGCAGACGCTCAGTCACTGAGCTACCCAGGCATCTCGAGATTTGGTGGTTTTATTGTGAGCAGAGTTTCAGAGGCAGTATGTTAAGGAAATTGAGGTCTTGCCTTGTGAAATATTCTCCATCTTTTACCAACCCAAATATATAGGACTTTATTGTCAGATATAAAGGGATAGTTAGCCTTGATATATTTAGAATCTTTGATTTAGTTTGCTTGTTACGACTTTTCTGAACCCAAGAACCAAAAAATGCTCACAATGTTGTAAACAATCAAATATATTTTTTGGGTTTCCTTAATTTTATAATTTTAAACTTTTCCTAATTATAAAAGTAAACTATTTCTTATAAAGATTTGAAATAGGGATCCCTGGGTGGCACAGCGGTTTGGCGCCCAGGGCGCGATCCTGGAGACCCGGGATCGAGTCCCACATCGGGCTCCCGGTGCATGGAGCCTGCTTCTCCCTCTGCCTATGTCTCTGCCTCTCTCTCTCTATCTCTCTGTGACTATCATAAATAAATAAAAATTAAAAAAAAAAAAAAAGATTTGAAATAGGGGATCCCTGGGTGGCTCAGTGGTTTGGCGCCTGTCTTTGGCCCAGGGCGCGATCCTGGAGTCCTGGGATCGAGTCCCACATCAGGCTCCCGGCATGGAGCCTGCTTCTCCCTCTGCCTGTGTCTCTGCCTCTCTCTCCCTCTCTATGTCTGTCGTAAATAAATAAATAAATCTTTAAAAAAAAAATAAAGATTTGAAATATAAAGAAAGCAAGAGGATGCTTGGGTGGCTCAGTGGTTGAGCGCCTGCCTTCGGCCCAGGGTGTGATCCTGGAGTGGCATGATCCTGGAGTCCCAGGATCGAGTCCCCAATCGGGCTCCCTGCATGAATCCTGCTTCTCCCTCTCTCTGCCTGTGTCTCTACTTCTCTTTCTGTGTCTCTCATGAATAAATACAATCTTTATAAAAAAGGAAAGAAAGAAGCAAGAATAATCATATATAATCCCACCTAAGAGAAGTAGCCACTCTTAATTGTTTATACTTTAACTGTTTTAAATGTTTTATTTTAGGGGCACCTGCATGGCTCAGTTGATTGGGCATTTGACTTGATATCGGTAGTTCAGGTCCCACATTGGGCTCCATACTGGGTGTAGAGCCTATTTAAAAAAAAAGATTTATTTATTTTGTAAAATTTTTATTTAATTATTTGAGAGAGAGAGAGAAGAAGAAGAAGCAGAGGGAGCAGTAGGCAGAGGGAGAGAGAGAAGCAGACTTCCTCTTGAGTGGGGAGCCCAAATGGGGCTCGATCCCAGGACCTTGGGATCATGACCTGATCTGAAGATAGCAGCTCAACTGACTGAGCCACTCAGGTGCCCCAAAAGTTTTATTTTAAAACAAGGATGATAATGCACTTTGTGCTATTCTCAATGCTGTATTGTTATGTAAAGTATTTGTATATATTTCTTAAAGTCTCTATAATTACTGTTTAAACAATTCTTCTGGGATCCCTGGGTGGCGCAGCGGTTTGGCGCCTGCCTTTGGCCCAGGGCGCGATCCTGGAGACCCAGGATCGAATCCCACGTCGGGCTCCCGGTGCATGGAGCCTGCTTCTCCCTTTGCCTGTGTCTCTGCCTCTCTCTCTCTCTCTCTCTCTCTCTCTCTCTCTCTCTCCCTCTGTGACTATCATAAATAAATAAATTAATTAATTAATTAAACAATTCTTCTATTATAGGATATTTAAACTGGTTTCTAATTATTCACAGTTATAAATAATATTGACATGAATATTGTTACATTTTATAAAAACATTTATTGAGTATTATAAACCTTTTTGTTCCCACTTTATTTGGTAAAATATACATAAAATTAACCATTTTAACCATTTTTAAGTGTAGAGTTCAGTGGCATTAAGTACATTCAGTGTTGTACAACCATCACAACTATCATTTCCAGAACTTTTTCATATTTCCAAACAGAAACTCCAAACCCATTAAACAATAACTCCCCATTCCTCCTACCCCCACTTACCCAGAGGTAATTTCTATTCTACTTTCTATCTATGAGTTTGCCTGTTCTAAGTGCCTCGTATAGATAGAATCACATAATATTTGTTCTTTTGTGTTTGGCTTATTTCATTTAGCATGATGTCTTCAAGGTTCATCCATTGCTTCTGTTTTTTGAAGAGTACTTTTTAAAGAATTTTTACATTTTAAAGCATTCTCAGATTTGCAGAAAGGTTTCAAGTATACTCTGAAGACTTTCTTAGACTGTGATAACTAAGTTGTCAATATGATGCCTCTTTGCCCGGCAATACTTCAGTGTATTTTTCCTACAAATGACACTCTCCTACTGAAGCACAGTATAACAATAAAAGATCAGGAAATAAACACTGATGCATTGTTACCATGTAGTTCTCAGACCCCATTCAAATTTGGCAGTTGTCTCAATAATGTCCTGTATAGCAGAAGGATTCAGCCCAGAATCAACTGTTATATTTAGTTGTCATGTCCCTTTAGTATTCATTCTGGAACAGTTTCATAGGATTCCCTTAACACTGGTGACTTTATCATTTCTGCAGATTACAGGCCAGTTATTTTGTAGCATATCTCTCAATTTGAGTTTGTTTGATGTTTCTTCAGCTGGATTCAGCTGCCCCAACACCAGCTTTATGCAACCTTGGCAGGAATATCACAGAAGTGATACTTGTGTTGTTATCTTGCACCTTATAAAGTATATGATATTTCCATTGTCACAGGTTTATTGTTTATTCCATTACTAATGATGTTTATCTGATCACTTCAGGAGGCGCTTGCTGTGTTTGTTTGTGAAGTTACTTTTTTTCCCTCTTTGTAATAAGTATTTTATGGGGAGATATTTTGAGACTGTATAAATATCCTCCCCTTATCAAAGTTTCAATTTATTCATTTATTGGTCAGTATAGGTTTGGGCTTCCTATTTTATTCAGTGTGTTATATTTTGACATTATTTATTTTATTGCTCAAGTTGTCCCAAATTTGGCCAGCAGGTTACTTTTCAAGCCAGATCTGTCTTTTGGTAATTTCTTCATCATTCTTTGATTACTAGGCACTCTTGTACTTTTCCTGACCCAGCCTAAAATTAATCATTTCAGTGAGGAGGTCTGGTTCCTTTTAGTGATGAATGGTATTTAGAAATCAAGATTTGGGTGCTAGGTGTACTTATTGCTGTTGGAATTGTCACCACCCTTAGGCCCTATTAGTAGAAAGGGCTAAGGAGTGGGGTGAGTGTGCGTGTGTGCATGTGTGTGCGTATGGGTATGTGCATGTGTACGTACATGTACTTACATCCAATTTCAATCCAACACTATAGGATTTATTCTCATTTTTTTTCTTTCCATGTTTGTGGTTCCCTTTCATAGTGAGAAATCAGGCTCCCACTACCTTAAATATATATGTGTGTATATATATATTTACTTAATTGATCCTCCTGTTTGCATCTGATCTCCCAACTGCCGTTCCTTCCCTCTTGTGAATGCCCTCCTCAGCCCAGTTTATTCTGACCCCAACACTAGGCTGCTTCAGTGTGCAAAACCCTTCTCGCCATACCTGAGCTCAAAGTTACCTTGCCAGGTTACCTTCCATGTGAGTGTGTTCCTCACCCAGCTCAGACTCCTGTGCTTGCTCTGTACCCTCTGCGGGCTCTCTTTATCCCCTTTGGGCTTCATCCCTCCCCATCAAGCAGACACCTTCCTACTCTGCTCTGGCTTTGACATTCTACATCAGGCTGCCTTCCTCTGAGAACACCTTCCTCATCTTCCTTGGGCTCTGACTCCACCCTCCAGGGCATCCCTGTGCATGGAGGCCCTCTTAACTTCCATACAAGTGCTTTCTACATCCTGCTTGGGTTCTGACACCTCTTGTTGGACTGCCTTCTTATACTGGATGCCCTCCTACATGGGGATCCATCTTACCAAGCACAGGTTTCACATGCTAGGCCATCCCATTGTAGAGGTGTTCTTGCTTGGGCTCCTATACTCCGTGTCAGACCACCTTCCCTTGTGGACACTGCTTACCCTGCTCAGCCTCAGATACCCTGTGTTGGGCTCTACTACCATGTGGATGCCTTGCTTATCCCTCTTGGGCTTTGAAACCCTATACTTGGCTACCCTCTCGTGTTCACAGTCTCACCTTGCTTAAGTTTTAACATCCTGTGCCAGGCTACCTGTCCACTGAGATGCCCTACTCAAACCCCTTTGTACTTCCATGTCAGGCTGCACTTCTGTGTGGATGCTCTTCTCACCGATTTATACTCCACCAATGTGTGACTGGCCACTACTCCCAGTGTGTTCACCATTGTCTTCATCCCAAACGGACTCTGACACTACTCTGGGCCATTTTGACGCCCAGTGTCTACGTTGCCTGGCTCCATTTAATGTGTTTGGATTGTATTGCTCAGAAAGGGAAAGGGAAGATGAGAAGCTTAAAGAATACTTTTAAGGGTGCCTGGCTGGTCCAGTTGGTAGAACATGCAACTCTTGATCTCAGAGTCATGAGTTCAAGCCTCATATTAGGTGTAGAGTTTACTTAAAAAATAAACAAAATCTTAAAAAAAAAATGACTTTTGATTTGATTTTTGGGAGGGCATGGAGAAGATAATTTGAGAAGTGATAAAGAATTTGATGGTATATCCTTTTTATTTAACACTACTCTTTTTTTTTTTTTTTTAAGATTTTATTTATTTATTCATGATAGTCACACACAGAGAGAGAGAGAG